GACTATCCCTATATCTTCGGTATTGTAAATAATGCTGCAATGAACATGGGAGTGCAGATATATCTTCAGGATACTGGTTTTGTTGCTAGATCACATGGTAATTCTATTCTTAATTTTGTGAGAAACCATACTGTTTTGCACAATGGCTGTACTAATTTACATTCCCATCAACAGCATACAAAAAAATCCCTTTTCTCCACATTCTTGCAAACGCTTTCATATTTTGGGCTATTCTGTATGGTTTACTGTACCATGTGACAGTAATGCTGTGCAGCTATGTGCTATAGACATTTTTGCACCTACTGTTACCAGTTCTGAAATAGCAACAGCTCCCTTTCTGTTTAGAGTCGCCTCCTGCTGGTAGGAATTCTGGTTGCTATGATGTGTAGCCTGCAAGCCTCTAATAGCTCTTTGCAGCGACACCAAACGCCGGGCGCGGTGGCGCGTGCCTGTAGTCCCAGCTACTCGGGAGGCTGAGGCTGGAGAATCCCTTGAGTTCAGGAGTTCTGGGCTGTAGTGCGCTATACCGATCGGGTGTCCGCACTAAGTTCGGCATCAATATGGTGACCTCCCGGGAGCGGGGGACCACCAGGTTGCCTAAGGAGGGGTGAACCGGCCCAGGTCGGAAACGGAGCAGGTTAAAACTCCCGTGCTGATCAGTAGTGGGATTGCGCCTGTGAATAGCCACTGCACTCCAGCCTGGGCAACACAGTGAGACCCTGCCTCTTTTGAGTTCTTACCTTATAAAATATCCTTTCTTCCCAGGCATCTATCCTAAGACAAAAGAAATGCAGAGTTTACATTCTTACAGGACTGTTGTCCTCGCTACACTGTGAATCCCCTCTCCCACCCCAACCCCTGTTGGGAATCTTGTCTTATTTTTATTTTATTTCACCACTATCTAGCTAAATACTTGCATATTCATGTTGCCAAGTATTTATGGAGCACCGATTGTATACCAGGAACTGCGCTGAGTCTCAGGGGTACCAAGAAAGGTTCGATGAGAATCCTGTAATCAACTGCAGAATGCTCCTTCGGAGAGCCGGTCATCAAAATAGGAACTCCGTTTTGAGAGTTCGCCTTCATCGCTGAGGATAATCTTAGAAGGATAGAAGCAGTTCTGTTTCGTTACATATCAAAATCTTATGTCAAAGTATGCGCGCAGGAAGGGGTCCTGAGCCCTGCAGTCCCCCCCCCCGTGGGGAAATACTCCTGGTAATCTCCTCGAAAATTGTTTCGACCAGCAGGGGTCACTATGAAGGCTGGCTTGAACCCAAAACACCACGGGCCAAAACATCCAAACCAGACAGCTCCGTAAGGGTTCAAGGAAGGAGTGCAGTTTCAAGAGGACAGTTTGGATCTTTATTAGAATTGTTTTGGTACAATGAAGGGAGTCAACTGTAACTTGACAATCGACGTCTTCAGAAACGCGAAATACGTTCGCCTCAAGGAATATTGGGTCTTCTGCGCGGCCGTAGATCTCCGCCAAGTGCGCTTGCGCGGAAGAGAAGAGGCGTCGAGTCCGGCAGGCAGTGGAGAGAACTGCGGTAGTGACCCTCGGACCTAACCATGAAGACGCGGTTTAGCACCATTGACCTCCGCGCGGTACTGGCGGAGCTGAACGCTAGGTACAGTTCCTAAGTGACCAGGCTCGTGCGGGGAGTGCAGGAGGCTGAGGCCGGGGGGGCCCATGGCGCCCACAGCCCAGCTTGATGTGTTTCCTTACTTTATATGCTTCTGTGGACCTGATTAGGCCTGAGTGGGTAGGCGTGTGGTGTCTTTCCTGTGGCCCTCAGGATACCCTAGGGGGTCCCAGGCACCTCATGCCCCACTCCCCGCGTCCTTGCAGCTCTCTGGCTTGCCCCGCTAGCGCGACGCTCTTGCATTGTTGGCCTGGGTTGCCGGGATCCGGCAGGAAACGTTTCTTAAAACACTAGACGTCAGAATGGTCATTTGCTCCAGAGGTTTCCAGATTGGAGGCTTGGTTTCTTGAACACTCCCCGCCCCTCATCCCTGAAAGAGAGAGCTTCGCCGTTTTAGCTGGATTGAGCAGATTTGGACTGAGGTCTGGATTCTAGTCTGGTTTCTATCATTTAGCGCTGTGAGCTTTGCCATGTTTTCGAGGGCCGTCTTTTATCTTTTGGTTTTTTCCCTGTCTTGTAATAAATTAATTTGATTATATTTTACTGTATTTCTTCCCCCAGATTGGGTCATTTTGAAAACGCAAGCTTTGTTCCTAGAGCTGAAGACCGCTTTTGTTTTAAAATCGTTGCTCTTAAGTTTTGAGCTGAATGCCCAAATGGCTTTTGGACTCTGCTCCCCGGCTGACTACCATATCCTTAGAGACTAAGATGAGCTCTTTCAAAGCTTTTATTAAAATGTGTATAGTTTTATGTTTCAAACAATTGTGTGATATGTTACATGTTTCCTTTGTCTCTGCAGCTTGCTAGGAATGAGAGTAAACAATGTTTATGATGTGGATAATAAGACATACCTTATTCGTCTTCAAAAGTAAGAACATTTTATAGGCTTATTTTCTCTTTGGTAATTAAATATGAGATTACTCATTTTTTTAAAACTGCATTTTAAGTCTGTTTCACAGTTAGGTTTGGCATATGCCCTAAAGAAAAATTTGACTTTTTTCTTCTACAGACCAGACTTTAAAGCTACACTTTTACTTGAATCTGGCATACGAATTCATACGACAGAATTTGAGTGGCCTAAGAATATGATGCCGTCTAGTTTTGCCATGAAGGTAAACTTGTTATACTGAATTTTAAGAGATTGCTGACTAACAATTAAGTTTTTAATTGGGGTTTCCTTCACTGTTATGAATAAAGTGAAGATAAAATAAAGGTAAAGGGAGCAGTCGACGGATGATGGGTTGAATAATTTGAATATTTATTAATTGACTTCTCCCCATTACCTTTCACATCCTGTTCCACCCCGGATCTTCTGTTTTCACAGTCGATATTAGAGTTCAAGCTTTTATCAGTTCAACCTTACAACCCCTTGACTGTAGTCCACTTCTTCGAATCAAAACAATTCTAAATTAGACCAACATTAATTTTTTGTTTATTTGTTTGTTTTTGTTTCTTCTTTTGAGATGGCGTCTCGCTGTCTCCCAGGCTGCTATGTGGTGGCAAATCTCGGCTCATACGACCTCTGCCTCCCAGGTGCTCGTGATTCTCCTGTCTCAGCCTCTTGAGTAACTGGGATAACAGGTGTGTTCCACCACACCCAGCTGATTTTTGTAATTTTAGCAGAGACCGTTTTCACCGTGTTGGCCATGCTCCTCTCAAACTCCTGACCTCAGGTGATTCTCCCTGCTTGGTTTCCCAAAGTGCTGGGATTACAGGCATTAGCCAACGCACCTGGCTCAACATTAATTTTTTTTTTTTAAACATCATTTTCATTAGTTATCTCACCTTTTATGATTCCCTAATTTCTAAATCCATATTCTATAGCCTGACATTCTTGGCTTTCTGTCTTCTTTCTCCTCCCTCCCCCACCTTTTTTCCTAGTCTTGTCTTTCAGAACTCACTTTTGTGAATCGCCTTTCTCTACCCAGTCAGAATTTTTTGGGAATACTCAGTGGCATTAATATGTTACTAAGTCTTCTTACTTTTATCTTTTGTTTTTACTATTAAAACAGATTTTTGTTACCCATTCTTTTATTGATGTAATGTATAGATTGAAAATTCATGTGGTACACAGACTTTCCTATCAGATATACTTAACTTCGAATTAATAGCTTTACCAGAGAGTAATTTGATAACCTGGAAAAGTTATTTAACCTCTTGGAACTTGTTTTTTTTTAATATAAAATGCGGATCGTACCTCCCTCATGAAATTACTGGGTTAATAGAAATGAGATATAGAGCACATAAAACAGGCCGGGCACGGTGGCTCACGCCTGTAATCCCAACACTTTGGGAGGACCAGGTGGGTGGATCACTTGAGGTCAGGAGTTCAAGACCAGCCCAGCCAACAGGGTGAAACCCTGTCTCTATAAAAATACAAAATTAGCCAGGGGTGGTGGCACATGCCTGTAATCCCTGCTACTTGGGAGGCTGGGGCAAGAGACTCGCTTGAACCCAGGAGATGGAGGTTACAGTGAGCAGAGATCGTGCTATTGCACTCCAGCCTGGGCAACAGAGTGAGACTCCGTCTCAAAAAAATAAAAAATAAAAGCACCTAAAAGAATAGCTGAAACATAATAGAATTCTGTACGTGTTCATTTCCTTCTTCCTCTGCTCCTCACTTTCCTTTGGAAATGTATTTGTTATGGCATTATTTCATTCGAGGCTTTACAGAGAAGAGCTTTACCCTCCAGCAATTTAGAATCTGTTTTAGATTACAAATTATGGTGGTACGGTTCCCGTATCACAAGGGCTTTCACAAAATTATCAGATTATTAAAGTTTATTTAATCGTAACCCAAAATGGTTCTTTTGGAGCTTATCCTTAATAGTAATGACAATACTACACTTTGTGTAGCACTTTTTTTTTTTTGAGATAGCGTCTTGCCCTGTCACCTAGGTTGGTGAGCAGGGGTGTGATCTTGGCTCACTGCAATCTCTGCATCCCAGGTTCAGGCGATTCTCTTGCCTCAGCCTCCCCAGTAGCTGGGATTACAGGTGTGTGCCACCACGCCCGGCTAATTTTTGTGTTTTTAGTAGAGGGGGGGTTTCACCATATTGACCAGGTTGATCTTGAACTCCTGACCTCAAGTGATCTACCCATCTTGGCCTACCAAAGTGCTGGGATTACAGGTGTGAGCCACTGTGCCTGGCCCCATGTGTAGCACTTTTTAAAGCAAATAAATAATATGTATTTCATTTAAGTTGTTTAACAGCTCAGTGGAATGTGATGAACAAATATAATTTGAGTTTCTGGATGAAGTAACAGGCCAATGAGATATGACACTGGGATTGTGTAAACATCTCCAAATCAGGCTACACTAATAGGAGGTCAGTCAGTCTTAAAAATACTTAGAATTCTATGGGTTAGGTGTACATGTCAATCTAAATGTGTAGAAAAATTTCCTGCATGGAACAGACAGTGTTAAGCACTTTATAAATAAAACAAAGCACTGTTACTGTTGTATGGCATAGGCAGAGTTATGCCCATTATGTGATAAATCACAGTGATTTTTCTAGTATTCACATTTGGGGATGACAACTATAGCTTTGTGGCACACAGCAGAAGGTTGTTGTCACCAAGCTGTTGATAGGGAAATAAAACAAGCTTTAAATGTGTACTGTATGTCCATCTGCACTCTACATGTTAAATAATTCCCTTTTTACTCTTCCTTGATGTGAACTTATGTCCTCTCAAGGATGCCTTTTATCTTAACTTTATTTTTCTTGATTAAAATTACTGGGGGACTCTGGAAGAACTGATTGTGATTTTCCTTTAGGGATTTGAAGATAGCTCTACATATAGGTTACTGTTTAATCATATCGATCATTTGTGTGTGTGTGTTTTTTTTGTTTTTTTTTTTTTTGGCGGGGACAAAGTCTTGCTCTGTAGTCCAGTCTGGTGTGCAGTGGTGCAATCTAGGCTCACGGCAACCTCCGCTTCCTGGGTCCTGGTTCAAGCAATCTCCAAGTAGCTGGGATTACAGGAACACGCCACCATGCCTAGCTAAATTTTTTTTTTTTATTTTTAGTAGAGGTGGTGTTTCACTATGTTGGCCAGGCTGATCTTGAACTCCTCACTTTGTGATCTGCTTGCCGTGGCCTCCCAGTGTGCTGGGATTACAGGCGTGAGCCACTGCACCCAGCCCAATATAGGTCATTCTTAAAATTAGTGAGTTAAGAGGGGCAGATTATTTATTCTAGGAAGTTATTCTGCCTAAATATATGAGTACATAAAATGAGAATTTTTAAGTTCTGGAGAAGAACTCTTTTTAGTTATGAAGAGGTTTGTTTCTTGTTGGTTTGATTTTTTTTTTTTTTTCC